GGTTGCTTTGCAAAAGGCCGGCTCCTCTTGCACGGCCGCATCCTGCCAGCACAGCGGGGCCCGGGTCTGCCCAGCACCCCCCCTCGCCCACGGGCAGCCCTGCTCCCAGCTGGGGTCAGGCCGGGGGTCTCCAGAAGTGTCCCCCAGCCTAAATCCCCCCGCGAGTCTCATAAAGCACTGTGACTTTTATTAAGCGTTATCCCCCTCAGCAGTTCAGCACGGCTCTTCCCCTTGGCAGCCAGTGCCTGACACTGGGATCAGCTGTGCCGGAGCGGGAGCAGCATCCCCCATCACCTGTGAGTGAGGAAGATCATTTGAGCCAGAGCTGGGGCAGGTGGGCACGCCTGGCTGGGCTGATGCTTACAAAACCCTTGAGGTGGAAGGGCAGCTGGCTTTCTTGGGCTCTCCTCATTTCTCAGAGCACCAGGCACAGGTTTTGTGGCCTGTTTGGGGACAGACATCCTCCTGCACCGGGTGAGCTGCAGAAGGGGTCTGCAATATGTGACCCGGAGCGGCAGCAGCGGGGCTGGGGTTGCTGGTGGCATCTCTTGCGCAGGTAAGCCTCCGGGAAGGGGGATCATCTTGCTGGGACATGGAAGGGATGTGTAGACCACGGAGATGACAGCAAAAGGGTGAGAATAAAAAAGGTGGAGTCAAGCTTTGCAAGCTGAGAGGCGGGTGGCTTGAGGGAATGAAGTAGTTGGGCCTCTTTGGAGCTTTTAGGGGGGCAGCTGAGCCCCTTTCCTTGCGTGTTCTTCTGTGCCTCTCTGGCTGGGTCGCCGCTGGCACCTCGTGGGCTGGCGGCGGCCCAGGGCGACCCTGCGGAGAAGCACGGAGGAGCTCGGCCTGGGCGCCTGGCCCTGGCTGCCGGCACCCGGGGAAGCATGCCGTGTTGCTGGCACTGCCGCACCTCGGCAGGGCTCTTGCTCCTGACCCCAGCCCCTGGTCAGGACCCACAGCCGGGCTCCGGTGCGCGGCACGTTCCCAGCTCCCGCTTTCCTCCTGCCAGGCTGCCGGAGCCGTGCTCTCCCCGGCAGCTCTCCGGCCCGCGAGCTCGCCTGGCCGCTGCTGCGCTCACCTGCCCGGCCGCACCGTGCGTGGCAGCGGCGCTTACCGACGCGAGTGCAAAAATGAGCTATTATGTTGTATTAATATTTTCACACTACTTAGCTCTCATTAAAATGTACTTTGCTGAATTTAATATGCGACTTCAAATGACACAACGTATTAAGTGCTTAATATACTAGAAATTATGAAACTATTATAGTCTAAGTAATATGAAATAATTAGAGTGAATTAAACTTCACCAGCAGAATGAGGGAAAGGCTTCAAATTTTTTCTTCTTTTTTTTTTTTTCAGTCTTAAAATAGTTGAATGCAGTAATAGCCCCTGAAAATAAACAACCAGAGTTAGGATTTTTAAATAATTAAAGCAGGAAAAAGCCTGGAGTGTCTGTATTTGAGCCTGTGATGAATTCTGAATTGGGGGAAGCAGAAGGTCTGTTTGCTGTAGCTGATGGAGTTGTTCTTTCAGGCCAGTGGCAGAGCAGCTCCAAGGAGCTGCTCACCAGACCTCCAGCCTTGCCAAGGCTTCTCCCCATATGCTATTTCCCTCTTGTACACAAAGCTGTTTATTTGGAGGCAAGCAGACGTGATGGCTCCCAGTGACGGAGCCGTGCCTGCTCCGGGTTTCGCTGCTGTGCCTCCTTGGAGCTGAAAGTCCCCTTTGCAGAGCAGCTCCCCTCTTAACGGGGGTGCGAACGCCACAGACCCCTGCCTGAAAATCGCAGCGACTGGACAGAGCCTGGCTTCTCGCTTTGGGAAGTGCTTCGAGCCATCGCGCTGAAGTCGGGGTTGAATTGCAGGTGCTTTTCTCACAGGGAGGGGATGGCCCTGGAGCGTGGGTGGGCGTGGGGTGGTAGATGCTCTCCGGTGGGTCTGCGGCAGCCATGCAGAGCACCCGACCCATCAGCTGCCGGGTTTAGGCAGGGTATTTGCGCTGCGGTGTGGATGCATGGGACCGCACCGCTGCGGCACGCACCGGGCACCAAGCATGGCGGGGACCCGCTCGGTCAGGGTCTCACAGGCCCCAAACCTCCACCGTCGGCCCTGCGTGGAGCAGGGTCAGCTCGGATGCGGGTTGTCTCTGCAGCAGCAGCGTGGCCGGATCCAGAGGACGCCAGGAGATGGCGTTCCCACCGCCGCTCTGCGCAGCGCTCCTCGCTGGAGTTTGTCTGGTTTTGAACTGAGGTTCTATGCAACTTCCATGGAAACTACTAAAATTACCCCTTGGGAAAGCAAGTCTGAGCCTGGGGAGGGGGGGACGGCGCAGGGGGAGCAGCCCGGCTGGGCAGAGCTGGGCCATCGCTTCCACGCCAGATGGACGTGCAGCCGTGAAGCTGCCACGTCCCTCCTCAAGCAGCAGCTTTGGGGGAAGGAGGAGAAAGCGGGCACTTACTGTCTCCACTTTTAGGGCTTTAGGGTGGTGGGCGTTGCTGCTACAATGTGGGATGGTGGCCGTCAGTGAGTAAAAAAGTGGTTGCACGATATTCTGCTGGAGGACTTGAGGGGGAGAAAAGGAGCAACGGGTGGGTGTCAGGCCGGCCCGGGCAGTGCTGGGGTGCTCGGGCAGCGCGGTGCCACAGGTGGGGGGCAGTCCCGAGAGGCTCGCGTGTCCCTCGCAGGTTTGCTGGCCCCCACAACCCAGGGGAGAGGGGAAAAGCAGCTTTCCCATGAAATCCTGGTGTCGGGAGAAACCGAGGCTGAACTGGCGGTCCCAGAGCTGATTCTGGGGACTAGACCAGCGGTACGGTTACAGGTAACCTAAGATGCTCTGTCCCGAAGTGAGGACAGGCTCTTCTCTAGTAAAGGCGTAAGGCTGTCACCAGATTTGTAGAACGGTATCAGAGAAATAGTGCTGTATTCAGGTGCACACCAGGAAGGCTAACACTCGAGTTAAAAGCGAGGAAAATGGTTCTTAGTTTGGCTCCTGGAGGATTATTCAGGTTCCACCAACTGTATCATCAAAAGACACATTTGCTTGGAAAGTCTAATCATTAAGTACAAAGAACTTGCCAGCAAGCATCTAAAAAAGTGTTAACTTTTTTTATATGTCCCTTTGATTTCCAGGGACTATTTGCCATTGGTGACAGGGAGGAAAAATAATCGCCTGATCCATCTTTTTTGAAAACGAGTTGTCTAGTCTTGGCCTAGCACGGCATGCTTTATGGCAGATGTGTTTGTAAGATGCATCTGACTTTGAGCGTGCTCTTCCAGTGCTGTTTTAGCGCTATGGTACGTTCTTATCTCGGCCTGCGGGCTGGTGAGTACTGTGCAGAGACGCAGGGAAAACGCGTTCCCTTTTCCAATGACCGTTCAGGCCCGGGATGGGTCTGGAAACCAGCAGGTCACATCCAGGTTGGAAGGGACCTTCGGAGGGCTCTGGTCTGCGTCCTTTCTCCAGCCTGCCCCAGTCTCTCTGAACAGCAGCCCTGTCCTCCCCAGCATCCGCTGCTCTTCCCAGTTTGGTGTCATCTGCCAATGCTCTGTCCCATCATCCAGGTGGCTAATAAGGACAATATTGATCCTGGGGGATGGCGCTGCTCGCCGGCTGCCAGTTGGACTTTGTACCCTGAACGCAGTGTTTGAGCCTGGCAGTCTGGCCAATTTTCCTACTAGTCCGCTTATCCAGTTCGTCTCTCACCAGTTTGGCTACGAGGATGCTATGGGAAGCCGTGCCAAAGGCCTTGCTGAAGTCAAGGTAAATAAACCCCCTTGCTTTCCCCTCGCCCACAGAGCCAGCCCTTTCATCGCAGAGGGCACCCAGGAACCATTTGTGCCTGGGGAGCCTGCGCTGGCCGTCGTTTTCACCTGCTCAGAAATGCCTTCCAGCGGGATTTGCTCCATCGCCTTCCCGTGGTGATGCTGGTGAGACCAACTGCGTCTCTCCAGATCCTCCTCCTCGCCCAGCCTGAAGCTGGGTGGCTATATTTGCTTTTTCCCAGTCAGCAGCATTGCCGTGACCTTTTGGTGATGACCCAGTGGCCCCACAGCGACACGGGCCAGTCCCTTGGGTGCTGCCCGCCTGGCACTATGGATGTCTGTCTGTCCAGGTGGCTGAAGTGGACCTGGAATGTGCAGTTGTGACCAAAATGTGCCGTGAGCTGTTGGCTGCCTCGGCCTCACCTTAGGAAACTCAAACAGCTCTTTTTTAGGGGAAAAATCTGGGCTATTTCAGGATCTGGCTGGCTGCAAGGAGCTGGGGGCAAGGTGCGTGGCTAGTCCTTGCCTGGCTGGAGGTTCCTCCTGCCTTCATCTTAAGTCTTCTGTGTAAATCAGTTTAATTTGTGCAATGAAGCCTATGGTTGGTGTCCTTTGGGTTTAATTTCGGTATGTTAGGGACAAGTGCAGACAGGACAGCATGGAGCCGTAAGTAAACAGGCTGGAGTGTCCGCATGCAGGGAGGTATGGGTTTAATTAAGTTGATGGAGGTTTGGGTGCAAACAAGACTTTCTGCGCTGTGTGGATGAGAATGGCGTACGGCAGGGTAGCTCTGCCTTGCTTACAAATTCACTTATTTATTTTCATGTAACAAAGTGAACTCTGTGGTTTTCTTGGAAACTTAAAACATGTTTTCCCTTTTTTTTTTTTAAAGCTGAAAATTCTTTCCTTTGATCTCCTTTCTGACTCTTAATGAAGTTGTGGGATCTGACTTCCCGCATCGCGCCTGTTGTTTTCGCTTTGCTTCGCCGCCTGACCGTGGCAGAGCCGGGGAGTGGGACGAGCTCGCCTCTCCCAAGCATTTCACACCTCCTAACACCAGCCCAGCTTCAAAGCACGCTACAAACACGAAAGGCCCATGTCTGCCTGCGTGAAGGCCAGGCTTTCATTGAAGTCCGTAAGAGCTGAACATGCACATCCAAAGGTATAATTTGACACTAACAAATTAATTCTCACTATTTTTCTGTGGAGGAATTAAGCTGCTATTGCCACAGTGCAGGCGGATTAACTGGGGAGGGGGTGGGAAGGGGGGACTGGTGCCTGTGCTGGAGAAGGGATGTTTTCCAGTCCATCGTGTGTTGGAGGCAGTGATGGGATGATGGGTCCCCAAGAACCTCGCCCCGGCGGTCTGACTGCCCAGAGCCCCTTCTCTTGCGTTGCAATTAAATTACTTGGTAGCCTAGGAAGGGAGCAGCGGGCACGATGCCTTGCACAGCGCTTGCATGCAGAGCTGCAGGAGTGTTGGTCCCACTCTGCTCATTGCCAGTCAAAGTGCCCTACGGACGGTCTTGAAGTCCCCGAGGCCCGCTTGTCCCCGGCATGTCTTGGTGGTGGGTTCCTCACCCCAAACCAGTCCCCAGTTGCCACCGGTGAGCTCTGAATGGCCGTGCCGGCCGGGAGAACGTGGGCGGGTGGTGCCGCAGAAGCTCTCGCACCCAAGGCAAAGCCCTTTTGGGAGAGGATGGGAGCACCTCTTTGGGAAGCCTTTGCTGCTCCCGCTTGTGCTACCCCAGCTCTGGAAGAAAGAGCAGCCTTCAGCTGCTAAGGCTGTTAATGTCACCTTTCACAAGTACTACACTTGCAAAGGAACCTGCCAAGTATAGCACATTTTAATTTGCTTTTTTCCCATGCATTCCTGGATTTATGGCTTAGTTCAGTCTGGTTACCGCTTGCTGTATAGATGTAAAGCTCCCTCCAGAGGGTCACTCCGTGCCATAAGCTTTGTGGGTTCCTTTGAGGAAACTGATGTGCTATTCCCTGAAAAGCATCCACCTAAAGAGGGGTTTTACATTTGATTTTGCAGAAATTTGAGCTTTGAAAGCTGGCAAGGAGATTTGTCTATCCGGTGATTACGTCTAACAGGCTTCTGTCTGAAGACAGATATGTTACTCTCTATTCTCTGCATGCCTTTAAATGCTTAGTTGTTTTTAGGTAGTATGGATTTGGGAACATAGTAATTGTGTAAAAACGAAGCAAGGAAAAAAAAAAAAGAGCAACTTAGAGAAAATGCATTTTCAGTGATGCCTGCACCAGGTTGAGAAGTACATTTGCAGTTGCTTGCCATCTGTAGCAACTTGTCCAAAGCAAACATTACCAGTCAGTCCAGGGTTGGCTGCATAATTGCCATAAACCATTGCAAGGGCATCCAGAATAGCACAGCCCTGGAACTACTTCTAGGATTAGGTCCTACTCCCTTGAAAAATAAACCTTGGCAAGAGCTCAGTTCGCCCTAATAAAAATTCCATTTT